TGTGCCTTCCCTTTCCCCGTTTCAGCCTTTTTTTGCTACAGCTGGCTTATCAATTTGAGTCCCGTTAACTTAGCAAACGTTTATACACGTGTTGGCACAATGGGTACTTATACAGCACAGTACAGTGCAGTACACTTATCCTCTTTTACGTTCGCATGAAAAAGTGCTAAACGTTTCCTCGCGACTGTTCTTTTTCCGCTTTTATTTTTTTTTTATTTTTGCTTGTTGATCTTTTTAAGAAGGTTAATGTACAGAATGAGCTATTCGCGAAAGGTATACGACAGTGTGTTTAATCATAAACTTATTTAGTAATTTTTTTTTCTATTTTCTATACACGTACACGTCTACGTAGATATGTTTGCCTCACATCGGCACGCCTCCCTTTTCAACATTGTTTGTAAGCCCTAGTGGAAATGAACCTTGTGGATATACATGTAACGGTGAGCATTTTTCTTTTTTTCGAGGACACTTGGAAAAGCTGCAGATTATCTAACTCGCGAAAGGATAAGGAAACAAAATGAAACATTCTCAAATGAACTGAAATGGTGTAACAACTCGCCCATTCCCCCCCTCCTCCTGAAGTATGCCTATTGACAAGTAATCATACACAAAGTTAAAAAAAAAAAAAAAAAACACTGAGAAGATACCAGGCCGTTCTTTCGGCCCTGCATCATTACACCCATCATTTTATACTTTTAAATGAAAAATGAGAAGACCATTTTTAACGCTTTCCCTTTCACCCCCTTTTTGTAGAATGTCATTTTAAGGTGTGTCACTCAAGTGATGCTGAACTGATTTGTTTGGAAAAAAGAGTGAACAAAAAAATGATGAACTCCGATTGGTGAACAGCGCATTGGGGGGTAATTTTCCTTTACAATGAATTTTTCGTTTTTCTTCTTCGTTGTATAGATCAGCTATTTTGGGGGAGAGGAAAGAGAACGTTGCATTTATTATATTATTACTCTTTAATGGTGCTTTTAAACTGATTTGATGTGATCAGTTGTGTGTGTATTTTTTTTTTCCTCTTTATGCTTCACGAATGGCACCTATTTTCTGTTCCTCCATACATACATTAGACATGATAATTCCAACATGTGTCCATTCATTTAGCATTTCCTTTTTACGAACCGGGAAGAGTTAAAATGATTTATTGCCCAACTCGGAAATGGAACGTGCGTTAAGCCGCCTGTACGGCGAGGTTACGTGTATGGGTAAAGACGCCCTGTCAGAAAGTGCAGAAATAACGGTTGCCCAATTTTTTCGCCTGTTTAACGGCAGAGGGACGTGGCTAAGACAGTTTGCGCTCGGAAGCGCTACACACGTACGGACTCCACATGCGAATGTTATCACAGGTCAGCAAGTAACAGAGGCGGCTGTTCTGGTAGGTGTGCATTGACTGGGCTTCCTATCAAGGAATCGCGGCGCCTGCGTACAGTTACATTCACAAAGGGAAAACCACAACGTGAGAACCGGTTTGCCTCAAAAAGGGCATGCACAAAGAAAACACACAAAGCATTATGCATTAAGCGGTCGATTACAAATCAACACACGCTATGCGCTGTTGGGAGAGATAAATATATTCACCCCAAGCGTTTAATTAGAGCGACACTACGAAAGCACGGCTTATCCAAGTAAAAAATCTGCTCATTTCAGCTCGTTTATGTGCGTGTACATTCCCCCTTGCATATATATATGTACGACATTGGTACATACCACATGGATGAGCTTTAAATTCCAAATTTGACAAATTGTGCCTTACGAAAAAGTGGCATTATTTCCAAAAAAAAAAAAAAAAATTAAACACAATCGCGCATACAAGCGCGTGCGGGGAAAGGAAATGGCGTGATGCCCGAAGGCACAAAAATAGTAGCAAATAAAGCTCAGCGAAAAAAAAAAAAGTAAAAGGCAGCAAAAAGGGGGAAAAAAAACGCGAAAAAACGAAGGAAAGAAAAAAAGAAAGATATAAATAAAGAAAGATATAAATAAAGAAAGGTATAAATAAACAAAGATATAAATAAACAAAGAAATGAAGAAATAAAGAACGCTAAAGCAAGCGAAATGCCGAACGCTCGTCCCCCTCCCAACTTGACTTTTCCTCGAAAGTCCAACTGCTGAACGAATCGCCAGCAGCAGGTTCGCCAATCGCAAGGAATTTCGCCCCACCCCCTCTCAATTTTTTTTTCCACGTCTTTGCACACACCGGGACAAGATTTCTCCCCCCGCCGGAATATATACCTTAAGTATGACTGCACCAAAAAGGAGAAAAAAAAATTACATACGAAAAGAATGAATAAGTGTTAATGCTTGTGGTTTAATTTTGCATTATGGACCGCCAGATACCCTTTCATATCCTCCTTTCGGCCCTCGTATGTTAGGTTACATGCCCTTCCACTGCGAGTTAGCTGGACACACAGAGAAGAAAAATTCCTCATTTCCCTACTGACACACTTGTCATCATCGAACCAATGGGTAAGTCTGTGTACACGTTCGTGGTAATACATGCAGCGTGGGTGGTATGTACATGTGGGTATTTTCTCGCCTCAGCGCGCGCGTAGGAGACGTTGTCTCAGCTCCAGGCCCTTCCGCATACACTTGCACATATGTAATTATGTACACGTTTGAAAAAGGCCACTCATCAAAGTGACCAAGGGAAGAAAAAGCCGCTTACGCACATACGGCTAATTCCTCCCCGCACAGACACTGTCGCTAGCGCAAACGCAGATGAAGGAACCACACTAGGCACCTCGGAAGCATCCAAAATCGAAGCAATACTTGACAAAATTCTCCCGCATAGAGACATAAACGTAGTAACCCTAAAGAGCGTAAGAAAAGACGTGGCGGATTATTTAAATGTTGATGAAGCGTACTTTTCGGAGAACAAAGAAAAAAAAGAATTACTGAAAAGTATCTTGAAAGAGAAGTTGTTAAAAATCTACAAGCAACAGAAGGAGGAGGAAACGACGGATGACATTGAAAATAGCGAATACAACGATGAAGTGAAAAAGGGTGACTCCAAACAGAGAGTAAACAAAAGTGCAAGCAAAGGCGCAAAGAAAAGCCCGAAAAATAAGGACAAACGTGGAGAGAAGAAAAATTCCGATAATGATGAGGAACAAGAAAAGGAAGAAGACAACTACACCGATGACAGCATGGGCGATACTACAACCAAGTCAAAAAAAAAAAATAAAATAGCGAAAAAAAAAAAGAGAGAATTAAATTCTGACGAGGAGAGTCAAGTACCAAAGAAAAAGAAAAAGGGAAAGGAACAAAATGACGACGATGATGATAATGATGAATATGATGATGGTGAAGAAGAGGATAAACAAACTGATTTCGATTATGATGCTCACCAACGTAAAGCCAATAATGAAGACGCTTCCAAAAAAAAAAAAAGAAGCATCAGCAGTGGAAATAACAGTAGTAAAGAAAAAAATGCACATAGCATGAAAAAAGAAAAATTAAGAAAATTAGTTTTGGATTTAAAAATTGGACCCACTATTTTTAAAGACCTAAACAAAGAAGATGAAGAAGAATACAATAAAAAACTAGAACAGAGAATAATTACGTTTTGCGAAAAAAAGCACCTGTGCTCGGAAAGTGGAAGATTACCCAATCCGAATGAAATACACGAGTACAGAAAAAAAATTAAACTGAAGGAAGAATTAGATGGTATTGACCCGTCCAACATTCTCGACTCCAGCACAAGGGTGAGGAGAAGAAACCCCAATGCCTATGTGCTGCAATCCTTTGCAGAGATTGATGAGGAGGGGGAGGAACTAGAGGACGAAGAGGAAGAAGATGAGGATGACGAGGATGACGATGATGATGAAGAGGTCGACGAAGTGGAAGATGATGCAGACGAGGGGGCAGAAGAAGACGACGATGATGAGGACGGGGTGGCTAAATCTAAAAAGAAGGAAAAGTTAAAAAAAACAATCAGCAAGAAGAAGACACGTGTGTTGGAGGACGATGACTAAGCATGAGATGCTACCCCTCCGTTGCAATAAACGGCCAAAGGGAAAAAGTGACAACTGGAAAAATAAACTAAATACAGATGAATTAAAAAAAGAGAACCCTTTTCGGCAGAAATCACGCGAGAAGACCCAACCCGTTTCCTATTTTTAATTTCACGATTCGAACCTCTATCAATATATATATTTCTTTTTAATTGCGCCTATGAATCTTCATTCTGGAACACACTGAATGCGTACGTGTGTGTATGCACGTTTCCCTCTGCGACAACGTTCTAAGCGGAAAACGGAGCAGCTTTCCAGTGCAGCAAAGTGTATTGGCATAATGTACCATAGAATCTGTTCGCGCGAGAGCGGCAGTAGGCAAAAAAAAAAAAAAAAAAAGAAAAAAGAAAAAGAAGACAGCGTTCGTGATAAACGCAGCGATGTGATAGGCATTACTGTGGCGACCTTGATGACGTGCCAAACTACTCCTTGGTTGGGTTGCCACCCCAACGTCTCAATACAATGATTTAAGGCTCCACGAATAGGTGTGCCCCTTTTTTTTTTAACCCCCTTCATTTGGTTGAGATGTACATATGTGAACGTTTCTGTACACATATGAAGAGAATGCCTTATCACTATTTTTAATTCCCCCCAATGTGATCTTCCTTTTTCGAATTAGTTTTTTTTTTTTTTTTTTTTTTTTTAAATCTTATTAAACTTTTCTCTTTTCCTTAAAACTTTTTTTGTATTCATTACTCTGCAAAGTGAGGTTCGTCAAATCGGGGTAACAGCCTCGTTGCAGTTACGTTTGTTTGATAATAGTTAAGAAGCGTAGTCCACTCCAGTCGAGTACTATCGATCCAGTCGTGTTTTTCGATGCTATGCCCCTCTCAGGTGGGGGAATTTCCCCAAGGGGGGGGTATCCGCCAGACGAGTATTACTAATCACGTTGAGAGGTCGCTTCGCCCCTTCTCTGGATGCTCCTCTATGGGTTCCAGATTTTTTTCCCCATCAAGGGTGTAACCACTTGGGGGTTATATCCATACATATGATTGACTGCTGGCCAATGTTCCATAGGCCCCCGCAGATGGGGAAAACATGTCCTTTGGCCTAGGCACAAGTGTTCTATTTAGCTTTGCCTTTTTATTTGTATGTTTCATTTTTATGCGAACGCAATGGGAAGTTCTTTTTTTTTTTTTTTTAACTCACATTTCACGTTTTACCATTTTGGCATTTTTTTTTTTCCTCATCATGTTATCCATTTTTTTGTCCTCTCAGCATCTTTTCGCATTCCCCATTTTTCGTTCGGCGCCCTCACAGTCTTGAAATCCAAATGAGGGTTTTCTCCTACCAGTCCTCATTCTCTCAATGCGATCCACAAGTCGCCATTTTTACAAAAATCATGGCTACGCTTTGGCCACATCGCCGTATGTTTATTTTATTTTAATTGGATTAAATTTTTTTTTTTTTTCACAATCGCAACACTTTAGGGAATTTTTGCCCGTACGAAAAAAGGGAAAAAAAGTTTCAGATAATTTTTCCCAAACTCTTCTCATTTAACAGCAAACATCTCTCGTCAACATTTGATTCTGTTAACACGTTTTTATAAAGTAACCCCCATTTTCTTGGTGTATCAGAAGAAGAGCCAGAGGAACGGAGTTACATACTGAATAGGAACATATGAAAACACGAACATATGAACACAGAAACATATGAACATACGTACATTATCGCTCGCTCCGCTTGGTAACCTATAATGACATCGAGAAGACATAAGTTTTTTAATGAAACAGATTTAAAGATATACATCATAGGGGATGAGGTAAGGGGGTAGCGGATACGCACACCGAACCCTGGCCCACGTGCGAAAGTACGCATGTGTGCGGATGGGCGACTCCAGGGAAGCGCCACAGTAGCGCGAGAGCAGTAGATGGAGTTACCCGTGCTCATCTGCCCCTGCGCGAGCATTCCCCTTCTCAGGACTCTGTAGTGGGCTTCTTACTAGCTGGCATAGGCTTTCGGGATGGCTTAGGAAAAAAAAATTTCTTCATCGTGAATTCAAGTAAGAACAGACAGAGAAAAAAAGTCGCCATATCGCGTACTTACCTTTACCTGCCGCAAATGTTTGGCGTTTCCATTTGTGTACATTATGTGCACTCCGCAAAGGACCGACGTTCTAAGCAATGGCACTAAGGGTTACGCTAATGTCCTTCCCCTGCCATCGTTTTAAAGAGGTGTCCGAATATTATTTAACTACGTCGTTTGATGAAATTAGGGAAGATGGCAACAAGGAGGGTTGTCTCCCGTGTTGCTAAGCATGATCTGGGAGTGACGAAATGTGTATATTATTAGCCTTACACGTGTGCACCGCGTTTCTCACCTCCTCACCTCACACGTACTTACCGCATATCTCCACATCGCTTCCCCCCAAAGAAACGAACAAAACCGAAATAGAGGAAGTATTCAAGGAATATACGTCAAAAAACGACTGCGGAGTTCTTCTGATGAACCAACAGGTGAGCACAGAAGGGAAGATAAATCTCGCTGCATCGAACTGCCATAATGTGACAAACCAACAAAGCAGAGAAATGACTGACCCCTGAGACGATTTTACCCGATGCATTGTACAAAATATGTTACTATGCAAAATGGACATCCCTGTGAAGTGCTATGAGGGGGGAATTTTTTTCCTCCAACGTCGGCGGGTGTCCAAGCACATCGACACAGTTATATACATCTGTATAGCTGTATAACTGTCTGATAGTATGACTGTATAACTGTATGACTGCATAACGCCATGACTGTATATCTATATGTCTACATATTTATGTTCCTGCTTTTTTGCCCCCATCAGATCGCGGACGAAATAAGACACCTGGTTGACCTGCACGATAAGATCCTGCCAACCGTTTTGGAAATTCCGTCCAAAGACAAACCGTTTGACCCCAACAAAGATTCGATCATACAGAGAGTGAAGCTTTTTTTCGGGGGGGATATATCAAATTTGAAGTGAATTTCTGAGCCGGATGGCCGTCCGAACGGAGGCTCATCCAACTTTCGCCACTTGTCATGCCCCATTTTGACGTGTCTCCTTTTGGAATGTATTTCTCTCCCCCCCCCTTGTTCTCCCCATTTTCCTTTTGACAAGAATGGACGTAAAGGTCAAGGGGAACATACTTCTTGCTGTCCTCCTTTTTACCTACATCTACGTAATGATAAATCTGTTCGTCCAGCCATTCATCATATCGGATTATCTCATTACAGTTTTTTTTGTAGACCCATGGAAATTAGCTTTTTTTATCAATTATTTATTCGTCCTTTTTATATCCTTTATTCTTTGTTGCATCGGCTTTTTACTCCTCACTTGTTGAAAGCAAAACTGTAGAGGTTTATCTTAACGTAAAAGCAGCCATTTAAAGCGGCCAATCGATTCGTGCGCATCAGGGGAAGGACTTTCCAGGATTATACACATACATATGCATGTATCCCCTCCGCTACATGAAGAAGCGTCGAATAGACCCTCCTTCTGTGGAAGCTTCGTTTGTTAAAAAAAATTATTGGCACATTTGAAAAAAAAAATTACTGAGGGAGTTCAACGGCGGTGTATAAATGAAGTACAAAGTGGGTTGTAGTGAACTGTGAACAGTTAAGGTTCTCCCAAACTGATAGCACATTAGAAGTGTAAGCGGGGAGAACGAATGGGAAAAAATTGGTTCATCTATCCCATTGATATTGGAAAAGAAAAGAAAAAAAATTTCCAGCACGTGTCAATGGGTGCCGCGTAAAAGACTTTGTTAGTGACTCCTTGAGATCACGTCAGTGAGCGTCCTTTCCTCAAAGTTAGACAAAACAGATGATATGAGCAGCTGCAATGAGAACACTTGGACTAAGTATACCTTTCCATAATTATGTGTATTCCCTTGTGAATTCTGCAAAATCCCTTAATTATCCTCGTCACTTCTCTCATACGTGGAGGAGTTTCTCTTTACCATTTTGTAAAAATTTTAAATAGTCTTTGTTGATACAGGCAAGACATGCTTTTCCACCCTCCCGTGTATGGTGTCGTCGCAGGTAAGCACGGTGGACGATCCGTGCTATGCCAGAAACTCAATACTTTCGATGTTCAGCATCGTCATTAGTGCGTCTAGGTTTAGCTCCTTCGCTAGGTCCGCAAACGCGGGATCTAGGGAGAGAGTCCAAAAAATGGGAAGCGGTTCGAATGGAGTAGCAGTTCCAATGTAGAAGCAATTCAAACGAGTAGCAATTCAAATGGAGAAGCGAGAATCATCGCAGAGGGTAGCCCACTTTACCTTACAGGTGCTCCAATGAACAAACGGATAGACACATATGTGCTGCTGACCGTGCTGACCAAACTGGCTATTTTATTTCCCCTTTTTACTTTCTTACCTGGACCTACACGAAGCGCATTTGCTTTCCCCCAAATCGTGGGCAAAAACCTCTCGGAAGGTAATTGCCCAAAATGGCTAACGGAAGACTTATCAATTTCAGCGCTGGAGAAAGTAATAGAAATGACCTGGTACTGACTAGCAACTTTTTTATTTACCCCTCCGTTTGATAATTTTTTTTCCCAGGTTTTGTTCAGACAAGCTGTTCATTAAAAAGGTGATAATGTAAGAATGGCGATAATATGAGAATGGCGATAATATGAGAATGGTGATAATATGAGAATGGTGATAATATGAGAATGGCGATAATATGAGAATGGCGATAATTATTTCGTTTCTTCGTCCTGCTTGTTAGATTATCCCCGAGAGGTGCTTTCCTTTTTATGACACAATCGCTGTCCCATCTGTCTACGTAATAATCGTATGAACTATTTGTGCTGTGAAAAATCTGCATTTCGATCTTCTCTCCTGTTCACAGGGCCCTGAAATGTATCCTCGCTCGGTGAATGCAAATGAATTTGATCAGCGTAAAACATGGAGGGTTCATCAGTGGTCAATAGAACACCAAATGAAATGCACCCCGTAGGATTCGCCCCCTTTACTTGAAACATATTATTTCTTTTATTAACAGTCAGCCTCTTAATATAATATTTGTAGTGGTAAAAATAAATCCCCTTTTAACCGTGGGTTGGGATAATTGCTCAATGGATAATTATCATCATCCTCGTAATGAGAAAACAAGTCTAAGAAAAAGTTAGTGGCATTTGTGGTTTTATTTTTTCTTTTTTTTTCTTTACCTTAATCCTCTTGTTCCTAAATTAACAGGAGATTGGTACCTTCTTATTTTGCCTTTTTCTATGTTCCAGTTTTTCCCGTGTTCAGTGTAGCCTACGCTTTTTAATTCATCATAGAGGAAGGGGTCCCTGTGAATGTTTTTTTGGAGGGCCTCTTTTTTTGTAGCATTTCCAGGATGGACACTTTCCTTTCTGCTCATCGCACTTTCACCATGTGATGAGATGTGAAGTACTGCATTTGAGGGGGGATTCCTCTTTTATTTGGTTGAAGGGAATCCCCACTAGGTTTCCTATTCGTCATTTTTTTTTCACATTTGAGTCTTTTTTATTTTTTTTTTATTTTTTTCAATTTCTGCCTAAGTGCTGCTTGTGCACCCCCTCCCGTGCATAATGCTTTCCTCCCTTTTCAGTGTCTCTTTCCATGTTGTCCACTTTGCTAAACAGTTGGTACTGTTCCTTTGACAGTGTTTTCGCTAGCACTTCGATTTCCCCAGAGACTTTTTATGTGCTTCTCTCCTCTCCACCTACCGCCGCTATTGTCACTGCTCCTACCACTCGTTCGTCTAGACATCAATGAGGAAACCACCTCATTTGGAGTGCCCCTTGCAACCTCAACCAGGAGTCTCGGCTTATCGGGAACAAACTTCCTCTCATCAGCACATAGGTGCAACGCGAATATAATGAATAGCACACATCTCATTCTTGCTTCTCTCAATGTTAGCGGTACTTGGGTAATTCGCTCCGTTGAGGGTGTCACAGGTGGGAGACTGCAGAAAAATGAGCACACGAATGGGCACGTAGGCATATAACCAGGCGACACTTGGGTGTAAACATATAGACGAACTTAATGACAAACCCATTCACGCACTACGATACTAAAACCGCGCGATGACATGCAAAAGCGTAATCAAACAATTCGAGGTAGAAAAAAAAAACCTTTCATATTTGTGCCCTTTCATTTCCTAAATTGTAATCGAAATGTGCCAAAAAGGATACATGCATCTAGGTGCATAGGGGAAGGAAGGGACAAAAAAGTTGCCTTTTTCTGTGCCTACAGTGCAAGGACATGGAAAACCTCAACGCCATATGCAACTATGGGGGGCACGATGCCCACCCCATCCCTTCCTAACTTTTGCTTAATTATTACGAAAATATAATTTAACAAAAAGGGAGGGAGCTACATGAGGAAAGAAAAAACTTCCCGTTTGAAGTTGTCTTCTTTGGACAATTTATAAAATGAAGAATACGAGAATAAAAAAAAAAAA